GGAGTATGCGGAATAATAATCAAGAAATAGCTGTGAGGAGAAAGAACTTGAGCTTTCCCACCTCTGGGCCCAGAATAATTTGACAATGCAAAAGAAGGTTTAAAAGAAACAGGCACAAGAGATAGTCAGTTATTCAAAAACTAAAATAAATCTATATGAGTCAAGCATGTGTATGCCTCTCGTTTCAGTCAGGAGCTTGCTACCTTCTCAAGTTGTTACAGAATACTCATAGTTTAGATACCTTGTCTGGATGAATGCATTTTCCCTTTAGACTTTGTTTCAGGAAATTAGATGTAATTCAGGTAGTTTATGTAGCTAACACTTTAGGATCATTATGCAAAAAAAAAATATACACAAAAAGCTTTGCTCAGGTAATAAGTACATGGGTTCACTGAGAAAAGAGGGGAAATGGAACATGGAAGCTGTCTCCCATCTTTGCCTTGACTTCTGAGAAACCGTGCTTCATTCCTTCTGGTCCCGTGCTGATTGGAAACACCACTGCATCTTGGCTTCTGATCTAAGTTTTCAGTAAGCTGTTAGAAACCCGGGCCCTTGAACATAAGGTAGATACTACAAATGGTTTTGATGGGGCCAGATGAACTTAGAAATTTCTCTGGCTTTAAAGACCATCATCTGTGCTAGACAATTATGGATGGTGTTCTGCTCTGTATTCTCATTCACCACTCAATGATATGTTAAATAAATAAATGTCCTTCATTTTATTTCTAGCATCAGTATTATTAGCTATAGTGACTATTCTCTTGCCATAATATTATGGTTAGTATTGATTTAGGAGTTTTATATACTTAATTATTAGTAAGATTGCTGTATTCTTCTATTACTAGTGATGAACTTTATATTATGAAACTTACAACCTTGTCATAGACTATATTAACAATTCTGTATCTTTATGGCTTAGAATGTTTTATGCAGCATGGGAATGATTTATTCCACGATCTGTATGAACATGTTTTAGATTTCCTACATTTCTATTTCAAGGCTGAGTATTTCAGAGACTATTTTATCTGAAACATTGTATCATTAATGTGCAGATGTATACTATACTCTCATTTTTATCTTTTCTATATCAGTCTTTAGCTCGATTTTCCATTTCATTTTTGTTATTTAAAATTTTGTTAATCTACATTTGCTAAAACTTGCTGTTCTACTTTTTATTTTTTTAAAAATTATTTTTCAGTCTTTTTGAGACAGGGTCTCCCTGTACCCCCAGCTGGCCTAGAGCTCACTCTACAGACCAGGCTGGCTTCGATCTCAAAGAGATTCATCTGCCTCTGGCTCTCAAGTGCTGAGATTAAAGGCATATGCCACCACACCTGGTTTGAAAGTAATTTTATATCCCATACTTAATATTTAATATCTAAAGGATGTATAAATTGGAGACCAATTTGGGGATTTAAGAAGCCACAAACAATTATATAACAATTAGAGATTTTACTATATTTTAATTTCAAAACATTTCTTCAATCATTATATTGGTTTGAATGTTTAAAATTATTTAGTTATACTTGATTATTATTTCCTTATATCTGTCTTATATGGGAGAATTTATGTATTTTTTAAATTAAAAATTATTTTTTATGTGTGTGAGTATATTGCCTGCCCATGGTGTAAATGCACCCATGTTGTGCAAAGCTCACAGAGACTAGAAGAGGGCATCAGATTCCCTGGAACTGGAGCTATGCATGGTTGTTAACCATCATGTGGATGCTGGGAACTGAACTTGAGTCCTCTGCAAGAGCAACAAGTGCTCTTAACCACTGAGCCATCTCTCCAGCCCCCCAATTTATGTATTTTAAAGATAACTTATTATTGAGTAGAGTACTTTATTAGTTTACCTTCTCAACTTAGCTCTTAAATGCATTTTACATTATGAATTTTCTTCAAATGTAATTCTAGGTGGATCCTATTAAGTTTCCATATACATAATGTCCTTTTTTATTTATTGTATTTTTGTGATTTTCATGTAATATAATTTGATGGTATTTAGATCCCCCTCCCTTATCTACCTCTCTCTTTACTTCCCCTCACCCAATTTAATACACACACACAATATATAATACAGCTTATAGAGTCTAATTTGCATCCCCTAAATGTCTCAGTGTGGGTCTATTCACTGGAGCCTGGTTTACCAAGAGTTTCATCCCTGTTGAGACTGTATCTCCCCCTCCCAGCAGCCATCAGTTTCCAAAAGTTCCTCCATTTGAGTTACTTTTTCTTTTTTACTCACTTCTCCATGTCTATGATGGGATTTTGTCTGGTTTGAACTTCATGGGACTTGTGCATGCTATTACAACATTGCTGTGAGTTCGTATGTGTATATGACCAGCTGTCTGGAAAACTCTGTTTCCTTATGGTCACCCATCACCTCTGGCTCTTATAATCATTCTCCCTCCTCTTTTGCATTGTTCCCTGAGCCTTGGGAGGCAAAGATTTGATATAAGTGTCCTATTCAGGGATGACTACTCTGCAGCCTCTTGTTCCCTGAGCATTGGTGAGTTGTGGATTTCTGTGTTAATCACCATCTGCTGCCTAAAGAAACTTGTCTGTTAAGAGTTGAGAGATGCATTCATCTTATGTGTAGAAGTTGCATTGAATCATACACATAATTTTCATTGCTTATCTAACAGCTATTAATCATATTATTTTTTTCTCCAACTGGAAAAATAGCATTTTGAGAAAGATATTTGTGGTTTTTAAATTATCATATGACTGAAATTGTAAAATTTGAACTTCCATTTTTATATGTTTATCATGTCATTTATCACAATATGTATGAATTAAAAAAATTTTGTATGTGTGTGTGTACATGTTCATGTGTGAGGGTATACATTGCCATGTTGTATGTGTAGCAGTCAGAGGGCACCTTGGATGTGTATCTTTACCTTCTACCTTGAAGCCAGGTCTCTCTTGTTGTTTGTGACTGCACTGTATTCTCCAGGCTAGCTAGGCCACTTCCAGGGGATTAGCCTGTCTCTGTCTCTCATCTCACTGTAGGGGTGTGTGATGGTTTGAATGAAAATGTCCCCCATAGGCTCCAAGTATTTGGACATTTTGACACCAGATGAAGGCTCTGTTTTGGGAGGTTTTAGAAGGTGTGGCTATCCTGAGGAAACACGTCACTGGGGGTGGGCTTACAGAGTTCTTAAGCCTTGCCAGATCACCAGTCGCTTTCTTGCTTCCTTTGCCTGTGTGATGATGTGAGAGCTTCACTTCTGCTGCTCCTGCTCCAGCCACCTCCAGCCACTGTGCCTCCCTGACATGATGGACTGTAATTCCCCTGGAACCGTAAGCTCAAATAAATTCTTCCTTCTAAAAATTGCTTGGGTCAGTGTTACTATCACAGCAACAGAAAAGTGACTAATACAGGGTGCTAGGATTAAAGACACAGGCTACCACATCCAGTTTTCACATGGTGTATTAGTTACTTTTCTGATGCTGTGATAGAATACCATGGTCAAAGACAACTACAGAAGAGTGAATTTTGGCTCATGGTTCCAGAGGGATGAGTTCACCCTGGCAGGGAGGCATGGCAGTAAATGGCAGACATGGCATCAAGAGCCCAAAGCTGAGAGATCTCATCTTCAACTGCAAACACAAAGAAGTAGAGAGAGTGAACAGGAAGTGTGGGGAGCTACAGACTCTCAAAGCTGGCTCCCAGTGACACCATTCCTACCGAAAGGCTATGCCTCTTAAAGATTCTATGACCTCCCCAAACAGCACCACCAACTGGGGACCAAGTACTCAAATACCCAAGCCTATGGGGGGTATGTTTCATTCAAACCACCACACATGAGTTCTGGGGATCAGAACTCAGGTTGTCAGGCCTGCACAGTGCATATGTGATTTTTACCCTAAAAGCATATTGAAATTTAAAATTTTTCATATGTGACAAATATTCCAAATGATGTTAGGGTTGTTAAAAAGACATTATCTGTGGGCTGGAGAGATGGCTCAGTGGTTAAGAACACTGACTGTTCTTGCAGAAGACCCGGATTCAAATCCCAGCACCCACATGGCAGCTAACAACTGACTGTAACTGCAGTTCCAGGGGATCCGACAGTCTCTTCTGTCCTCTGCGGGCATTTCACGACATGGGTGCACTTACCTACATACAGGCAATACATGCATACATATAAAATAAAAATACTAAATAAAATATTTTAAAAAGATATCTGTAAGCAGGCCGTAACATGTATAAAGTCATAATTACATTTTACTAGTAATAATGATCAGATATTTTAATTGAGTAACTGTTATTTTTCAAGACATGGTCTTGCTATACAGCCCAGGCTGGCCTTGTGATACTCCTACCTCAGCCTCCTGTGTGATGGGCTACAGGTGTGAACCTCCCTTCCTTGATCTTATTCATTACTTAAAGAAAATAACAGGTTGGAGATTTGCCTAGCATGCATAAAGCCCTGGGTTCAATGTTCAGTACTGCAAACACACATACACACATCACACACACACACACACACACACACACACACACACACACAAAATTAAAAGGGCTTAGTAGTTTATAATCTGCTGATCATGTCATAATTCCTCCTATAGAAATTAGGAGGGCGTGTGTGTGTGTGTGTGTGTGTGTGTGTGTGTGTGTACATGCGTGCTTGTGCGTGTATGTGTGTTTGAAACTATAGGAGTTATTTGATCTTTTTTTCATTTTATTTATGTATTGTTACATATGTCACTGTTATCATAAATGACTCATAATACTTTGTCTTTTGCCTCAAGGTTTTATTATGACATTGCAAACATTGCCTTAATTCAAACATGCTTCCTGATTTTAAAAATTCATTCTTTTGTTTTTAAATTACTTCTACTTATGTTTTTATAAATAGCAAATTACTGGAGGTTTTTTTTTTTTATTCAAACTGAGTCTTTGCCTTGTACATAGAAGATATTCAGTGAAAATGTGTAATTTGAAATGAGAGTTAATCTTGCTGTACCCTTTGTCTTCTGTTTTGTTTTAGGTGGGCCATAAAGCATGAAGGGATCAGTAAGCCAGGCCAATGGAAACATTCCAGAGTTGAAAATCCTCCATGGAACAAGCTCACTTAAATGTGGCCAGTCCTTCCCAATGGCCAGCTTAATGAGGTTAGAGGACTTAGTATAAGTCTTCAAGGTCTAGCATCTTGCCAACTTTCTGAAAATGTCCCTGCACCTTTTGAATTGCAATGTTAGAAATAATACTTGTTAATTCTGTGGTTTACTAGAAAGATGTATTTAAGTCCTTCACTATAGAAACAAATTTATCTATTTCTTCTTGTAGTCCTTCAAATTTTGCTTTATATATTTTGAAATGTAGTTCTCCAGCATATGTGTGTTCAAAATAGTGTTCACTTAGTAAGTTCAAACTTTTATCATTATGCAGAAACTCTGTCCACTTCTGATGAAAGTCTCAGTCAGATAATAAAAGCACCCAAGGTTTTTTGGTTATTATGTGCTTAGTATATCTTCTTTCCAACATTTTACTTTCTGACTCTTATATTCTCAGAAGTGTCTTGATAACCAACATATAGCTAATTTAGAGAACTGTGTCTGAAGTCCTATCTATACACTGAAGCATTTGGGCTTTTCTAATAGAATTATAGGTACCTGAATCATTATTTGCTTTCTATCTACCATTGTTTACAAACCTCTCCCCCAAATTACATTTGTTTACACTGACTTTTTTTATCATTACATTTTCTCCATTTACTGATTTCTAATTTGTACTGTTTCCATTCTTCTTGGTGATAGTGTTATTGTAATTACTCTGAACATTTTAAAATATATTTTATTTATTATTTTATTTTATCTACATGAGTGTATTGCCTGCATGTATGTGAGTCCACCCATGTCACGTAATGCCCACAGAGGACAAAAGAGAGCTTCAGCTTCCTCCGAAACTGGAGTTACAGATGGCTGTTAACTGCCATGTGAATGCTGAGATTTGAACCTGGGTCCTCTGCAAAAGCAGCCAGTGCTCTTAAACATTGAGCCATCTCTCCAGCCCCCTACCTGCATAGAAAAACAACCAAAATACAAAATTAATCAATATATTTAGTCTTCTCTCAAACATTAGAATGATTAACTTCAATCCTATGATTTCCGATATGGGGCATTTTTTTTCATTGTCATATATTTAAGTTTTTGCCAGAAACCTATCCACAAGATTGTTGTGTGCAATCAATGTATATTTCCATGTATACTAAATTTTTCATTTTTCTTGGTATGAGTTATTCTTATATCTCAGATCCTCCATCTAAGCTTAGTTTCCTTCTGCCCTGCATGCCTTTTATCTAGTTATCACTTAGAGATTTTTCACCTATCTAAAATGCCTTTATTTTATCCTCACACATCTCAGGTTGCATCCCAAATTCTCTGACCCTTAATTATGGAATGAAGGGAAATAACTTGGGCATTAAATTAGCTAGAGTCAGACAGATAGACTCTGTCTTCCAAAATGACTGGGTCTCAGGGTCCTGCTGTTTCTTGAAATGTCTGAGGAACAAAGCACTTAGCAGGCAGGGAACTCAAATTAAATACAACCCATTTCACTTCAGGTTGCCTCCACTTCATTTGAAAGACCCACATTTCCTTAGAATTCCATCTTCATGTAACTGATTTGGAGATGTGGCATTCGTAGATGTGGCATTCATGTTGTGGAATACTGAATTCTTTGTACACTATGGTGTATTAGTTTTATTCCAGACCTAATCTCCAATTTTACTGTGTGTCTATTGTTTGTACTATGTTTAAGTACTAGAGAGAGCACAAGGAAGGAGACAATGTGGTCCCTGACTTCATGAAAGTTACAGTTTAAAAAGTATAGGCTAAAGAGGGAGTAGAGCAGAGAAAGGAGGCCGAATTGGTGAATAAAGGTTAAAGTGGGGAGAAAGAAGAAATCTACGAAAGAGGTTTGATGTTCGAGCAGTCAAGGGTAATTACTGAGTCAGTTCATTCACACAGCCAATATGAGAAAAGATTGCACCTGAAAATTAAGTCAAATAACAAATCTAGGGAGACCACCTAAGAAATACTATTTTGAGTAATAATGTTAATTTTATGAAAAGAACTATTCAAAAATTGAATGATGACAGAAGATGTAAGAAATATGAACAATATGGAATTATCTCATAGTGACTCAGACTACATTAATGGCAAAAAGTGGTGATAGCTGATCTGAGAGCCCATTCCACACTATTAACATTTTAAAATATTATTCATCCTAAAAGGCAATCAATTATATTTTATTAACAAACAGAGTTTCATGTACATGAGGACATCAGTGTTTTAAAACATGTTAAAGCTTTATCAAAACAGCAGTAATAAATTCTTTTGGTTTATTCTAAAGTCCCTGAAATAGTTCATAGGCATGAACTCTTGGGTTATTTTCTCACATCTTGAAGAAAAAGTTGGGAATTGAGAAATTGCACTTCTAAATATTTAAAAGCATGAGTGATGGATTTTCATATTCAAGAATGAAATAATTACATATAGTGAGTTTAAAGAGGATTAAGATTTTGCAATGTTATACAAGATAATTATTTTAAAGTTTCTAATTTACTGAATTAAAATATCTCTATTTGGATGAACCAGTAATAGAGAATAAAATTAAAAGTACAAATTTATTAATCTGCTAAGCAATGATGTTTCTTAGTGGCAAAAGAAGATAAAAGGTATCTTTCAGGAGGACCCGGAGATCCAGGACAACACAAGTATCTATTTATATGTAGACTAGGGACCCTTTATGAATTATGTATATTATATATATCATATATATAAAAGACTATATATATATAGTCTTTTGAAATTGCATGTAAACTCAGAAGCCAGTTTGAAGAAAGGAAAGGGTAGAAATGCATCCTTGAAAACAAGCAAGCAAGAAAATTGAGGACTTAGCTATTTATAAATAACAACTAGAGGTAGGTCCAACAAGACTGAGAACTGAAGTCACTGGTTAAGAGTTGACTCCCAGACCAACACATGCTGCCTTTGTCTATGAGATGGGTGGAAAAGAAAAGCAAGTGGAATTATCCATTTACGGGAGCACCAGGGCCCCTGGAGAGGCTCCTGACAATGCAGCTGTGCGGTAGAATAACATGAACACAGAGAAGGCCAATAAAGAAATGAATGGGAGGATCTGAATTCCAACCGAGAAAATGGAGGGGGAGAAACAGAGCTGTAACCAGTGTAATTATCGATGTTGTGTTGTCCTTCATTATCATTATTCCTCTATTTCCATGAAGGACAAAATAGCAATGCCTTGAATGGGAAGCTAAGCATGGTGGTGCGCTCCTATAATCCCAGCCCTTGGGAGGTTGAAGTGGGAAGCATGCAATAAGTTGAGACCATCCTGGGCTACATGCCTAGTACCAGGCCAGCCAGGGCTACAGAGTGATACTGTCTCTTCAAAAAGTGAGTACAAAAAGTAAAAGATCTTTTTAAAATGCTGCGTGTGTGTGTGTGTGTGTGTGTGTGTGTGTGTGTGTGTGTGTGTGTGTGTGTGTGTGTGTGTGTGTGTGAAGGTAAATGAATGCCATGGTGTTCCTGTGAGGCCTGTGGGAGTTGGTTCTCTCCTTCTACCATGTGGGTCCCAGTGATGGGACTTGGGTTATTGGGCTTGATGGCAAGCACCTTTACCCATTAAGCCATCCCACTGGCCCAAGAATTAAATATCTTAAAAGGAAGATTTAATGTCAGCAGTTCAGATATATGGGAAGCTAATTTTTCATCTCTGTGAGTTGTGTTTCTGTGATGTCTCACATTCAGAGAGAAGGCTCTTGGACTTCCTTATTCTATCTAGAAAGCAGTGATTCATTTGAAGGCAGCAGTAATTCTGTGAACGTCAACAGAAGTCCACAGTGGCAACCACTGTTAGAAGCAAGTTGTAATCGGAACCAAAACCAGCTAGGGGCTAAGCTCGCACGTCTTAGAGTTGTTCCTCAGAAAAATAGCATGTATAGGATATTAAAAAACTTTGAGTTTCACACCCTAATATTATAGATTGACAAGCTCACAGACTAAGCATGAGGGAGAATCATTTTTCTTGTCTTTCCTTTCCATGGTTCAAAAGAAAAGGAGAAATGTCAGTAATTTTACACCAAAACTTCAATGTAAAAGTGAAGACACAGAAGAATCTTGGATTTCTATCCTCAAGCATTTTCCACCTTTTTTTGAGATAGGATCACTCATTAGCTGGAATTTGCTGATCAAATTTGCTAGTCATTCTGACTGGCCAGTGAGCCCCAGGGATTGCCTACCTCCCCCTCCCCAGCACTGGGATTATAAGCATGTACCGTAACACCTGGCTTTTTCTTTTTCTTTTTTTTTTTTTTTTTTTAATGTGGGTTCTGGGAATCAAACTCAGGTACTCTAACTCATGAAAGTATTTTTAATGAAAATTTTCCCACCTAGGCAGCTCCATCTAGATCTTTTGTGAACTTGATTTCTTCTGAATTATCTGCTGCCTTTGCTGTAGAGTACTTGAAGCTTGATTCCAAACTTATTCCTTAGAAGCTCTCTGTCCCCAGTCCACCCTAGTCCTCCTCCTCTCACTATAAACCTTAGGTCACTTTGGTGTTTTTTCTTAGTAGCCACAGTAACAGAAAGCAGCCCATGTTTCTCCTTTCATAAATAGTAGGCATTTATTCAAACAACCACTTTGTAGTTTGCCATTTGTAATTTAATTTCCATGCACATGAGACGTTCTCAATGAAGGTCAGAATAAAACAAAACTTCTTTACTTCAAATTTTGCTAACTTAGGAGCATGTTTAGCTAGCCTCGTTGTTTGCCACTATGTGAGCGTGTTTATTAGGCAAAATATTATATTACAATATAAAGGAAGACCATTAAACTCAAAAGTACTCTACTCTTCAGTTTTTAAATGTTTGTGATACATTTCTCCTAAATAAATGCAACTTACTTAATCAAGACACAAATTAACACTTCATAATTAGAGGCCGTCACTTCAGAATATTTAATCTTCACAACCTTGAGATTTTGTTTATAATTTATCTAAAAGATGTTTTTCAGTAAAATTGCAAGATTCTATAAATTGTTTGGAAAGTATAAGTTAATATGATTGTATTCATGCTATGATGTCTTTGAATGTTTTTTTATGTAAACTAAAGGCTATAGCTTGGACTGTACTGGCAGATCATGGCCATCACAGATCACAAGTGCATTCATCTTTGGGCTTGTCAGTTGGACCCTCCCAGTGCTTGAGGGAGATATTTACTGTGATCATCCAGGGGTTTTGCCTGCCTAACATGACTTCCCCCTTCTTTGGACACTAGTACCTGTATCACCTTTAGAAAATGTCTGTCTCCGAATTTTACTTCATGTGGATGACTTTGCTTTTCTCAGAAGCTACAGCCTGTGGCAAATGGCTTAGGTGCTACTGGTTCCTTAGCAAGCACATGCTCATGGGGAAGGAAGGAAGGAAGGAGGGAGGGAGACAGTATGAGAATGTGCTACCCAGCTGTCCTCCAGATGCTGATGGAAGGGTGCTCTTAGAGGAGCCCACCTTGAAAGTTGCATCTTGAACCAGGCTAATGGTGTGGAGGAGATGAAAAGAAGGTGATCTCGTAATATATTTTGAGACTAGAAACAGTTTTTACAAATGGATGAGGTTTCAAATGATAAATCAAAAGGCCTCTACTGAGCAATATAGAGATTTTTAACTTAGTAACATGGAAGAAATAATAGTGAATAACTGAAAACGGAACCAAAAGAAAATGTGCAGGATGCAAAAGTATTTTTGAAAGAAATGTATTATCATAAATATTTATATTAAATAGCAAGAGAGTCTGAAACTAATGAGATAAGCATTCAACTCAGGGAGTCAGGAGAATAACAATAGAATGAATGGTTAAGAATTCAGAAGAAGGAAATCGTAAATTGTAAAGGCTACAATGATAGACTAGAATAGCTGATACGTGTGCACAAACCAGCAAAACAAAAATAACCTGTTCTTTGAAAACATTAGTAAAATGGACATACTTGAACATATTTATTAAGACAACAAAGAGAAAAGAAAATAATATTAAAAATAAAAGTAATATGAGAGTAGATGCTGAGCGATTGGACAAATAATAAAGGGATATTACAAATAACCTTATAGTAATAAGTCTAGCTTCATAAACTAAAATGATCAAATTCTTGGGCAAAAGTAATGCATGAAAGGGGATCAAGAAGACACAGAAGGGGCTGGCAAGATGGGTCAGAGTAAACGTGCTTACTGTCAAGTCTGGCAACCCAGTTTGATCCCCAGGACCCACATGATGGAAAGAAAGAACTGACTCCCAAAGTTGTCCTCTGATCTCCGCACTCATACTGTGGCATGCAAATGCCCACACACATAGAAAACGAATAAATAGATAAATGTAATGAAAGAAACAAGGCACAGAAAGACTAGATAGCCTACTAATCATAGAATAAGTCGTTAAAAGTTTCCTCACAAAGTACACTGTGACCTAGTTTTCCTGGAAAATTGTTCCAAGCATATAAGACACAAAAAAATTCATAATACAAAAAAAATGAAACAACATTTTTCACTTCTGTTAGCAACCGTGTAATGATATTATATGCTAATTCTAGTTATAAGTACATGCAAAAATCCTAAGAGAAATAGTAGCTAATTTTATTCAGCAATCTATGGGCAATAGACTTATTTGAATAAACATCAGTCACACTTATCCAGAAATGTAAACATTGTTTAAAATTTTTTAAATTAATGCAGTTAATGTATTAGCATACGCATAATGAAAACATAAATAAAATGAATATATCTCAATAAATAGGGGGAAAGAGCCCTTTATGATCCAGCACACAGTCTAGAATTTTGCTGGGGATGCTTCAGACTGAATCTTGTGACTCATCCATGATAGACTATCTCTGAGCTAACCTACACATCACTCTATCTCAGAAGAAACTTAGCAAAAGGGAAAATTTTAACTTAATGTAGAACATTTTTTAATAAACTTTTGAAAAGCTAACCAAACTAACTCAAAAACACATGAAATGGAACAGAGCCAACAAGAGCCAGTACTCAAAGAAGAACAAGATGGAGGAGCCTGCCTTCTAGATATCAAGATTTACCAGACGTGAAGTGTCCCCAGGCACCAGGATGCTGTGCGTGGTAGACAAACTGGCATGCCAAAGAGAATGGAGCACAGAAAACCAGAAAGGAATGACAATCTTCTTCAAGATGGTCATGGAAGATGAGTGGACCACACTACCAGAATGGTTGTTTATGTGGAAGGGAGGAAAGAAGGAAGAATGAAAGAATGAACTTGAGAGAGAGGGGGAAGGAGGAGGGCAGGGAGCAGAAGGAGGAGAGGGAGAGAGAGAGAGAGAGAGGAGAGAGAGAGAGAGAGAGAGAGAGAGAGAGAGAGAGAGAGAGAGAAAATGCTTGGATTTTGCTTTATCTTTGATCACTCCCCCACTTACTCTTCTTTCCTTGCTTAATCTCTGTGGACAGCAGCTGTATCCCCCAGTTGTCCAGCTGTTCTCTGGGAGCCATCTTTGTGTTCATTTCACAAACATTTTGCTCCACTAATTTTCCAGTCTGATGCACACACTTCTACCAATCCTGTGCTGCACTAACTCTGAAGGCTTCGAGACTGCTGGGTGGCCTTACTCCCTTGGGGTCTCCATGATGCTCCATGTTCTGTGATTCTTACACCATTATGATTGTCAGTTGATTTCTAAATACATTTAAGAAGTTCTCAAAATATGACTTCATATAAATTAGTTGAGGGAGAGTGCTCTGTCTAGGTCATAGTTTTATTCCCAGTGGCAAAATACTGTACCTGAAATATGATAACCAATAGGTATTTGGAAAATACATGAATTAGTAATATAAATGAATGCATATAAGTGAATAGATACAAAGTAACTAAATTCTATTATGGAAATGTCTGGAATGTGTTTGAATCATTTTGTCATCTACTTTATTTTTAAAAAGATTTATTTTTATTACTTTTAAAAATTATGTGTATGCATGTTTGTATGTGGGCATGTGCACATCTGTGTGCAGGTACCTGCAGAGGTCAGGAAAGGGTGTGGGATCCCATGGAGCTGGAGTAGTAGGTGATTGTGAGCTACATCATATGGGTGCTGGCAACTGAACTCAGGTCCTCTGCAAGGAGGGTATGATATTGTGCTCTTGACCACTGATCCGTCTCTCCAACTTATTCTGCTTTTGCTATCCTTAAGTGTTGTCTTTGTCAACTAGATCAAGTTTAAGATGATACTATTTTAGACTATTATAAAGCTCCATTTCATACATTCTCTTTCACGTTAACTAAAAATCCTTCACACAAGAGCAAAACCAAAAAATATTCCAAGTTAATTCAGTTTTATTTTTCTAGAATGTTTCTTTCGAAGGAAAGTAACAATCTACGAGTTGGACAGTTTTTTTAATGACCAATTTTAAATTTTAAAAATCATTACGTTTCTTCTTTATACAAAAAGGATGAATTAGAATTGTTTGGAATAACTTAGATGCTCAATCATTTTTTTTTTTTTTTTTTTTTTTTTTTTTTTTATTGATTAAAGAAAGTTTTTTGAATGGATGAACGAGATTCCCACTGTCCCTACCTACTATCCAGCGAAACCACAGCCAAGGGAACGGGCTTGGCGGAATCAGCGGGGAAAGAAGACCCTGTTGAGCTTGACTCTAGTCTGGCAAGGTAAAGAGACATGAGAGGTGTAGAATAAGTGGGAGGCCCCCGGCGCCCCCCCCCCCGCTTTCCCCGCGAGGACTGCTTGTGCCAAACAGCCCCCTGATGAAGAAACCTATCTGCAAGACACCAGAGCAGTATGTCTCTGCGAAACTGAAACTCAGAGTTCTGAGGAATGGAGACAAGTGTAAGAGCAGACCCCTTGTGATCGGTCCAGACATGGCACCAGGACGCAAACGGCAGTAAGGGCAGCCTTTCTTCACTTACGTCCTCACATACACGTTCTAGTATGGCAATGCGAGTCTCCATTTTGAATGCTTTTCTGGAGGAACTGTAAACTGTATATATACTGTATATATACTGTTCATTCTTTCATTCTTCCTTCAATGACCATCTTCATTTTTAATGCTTTTCTGGAGGAACTGTATACATACAGCTTCCTATATTGCTATTTGAAGGTCAAATAGGTACAAATTTTCATTTAGTTTCTGTGTCAGAAACTTAGTTTGATCTCTTCTGTTTTAGGCTGTGCACTAGACCAAAGGGGTCAGAAATGCATGGCAGTGATTTAAAGAGTTCTGTGTCCGTTTTGAATTAGCACTTTTGTTTGAGCTTTATTAGTGTATATGGAAACGAGTGAACTCACACATTGGTTATTAAATATGGGTTCAATTCTTTAATTCTTAATCTCATAATGATTTTTATATCTTTGGAATATGTAATATACACAGTTCTCAGAAGTTCTTCCTAGAAAAGCACTGATTTGTAATATAAAGTTACCTTGTGATTCAAATATCACCCCAAACACCCCACATTTCTCTATTATTAGAGAAAAATCACCTACTTTATTTTGACTATATTTTATGACAAAAGGAATCATAGATCAATGAAAAGCTTTGATGGAAAGAATGAGTTAAATACATTGTTTCTCAAATAATTACCAGCAATATTACGTCTTGACCTTTCTTTTGAGGTATTTAGGGTATTTGAAGCTGCTGCTGATAGTTTAATGTTACTTTCTTCACATTGATTAAATATACTTCATACATCACTGAACAATGAGTAACATCACATTGGCTGTCCACTGAACTGCCTGTAAAGATGATAAAGTAAAAAATTAATCTTCAAAGTAAAGTCAAGCCTGAAATTGAAATCTTTGACGCATACATTTCATAATTAGCTCATTCTGCTCCATGTAAAATGTGAGGGTGATGCCCTTAAAGGAAGGGTATGACTTTTTCTAAACACCCAAAGTTAATACGTAGTTTCTGTCCCTTCCTGCATTTTTTTCTTTTATAGCTTTAATTGTGATTATAAATTATACACAGATAACTTCCTATGACTTTAGTTGAGGAATTCGGAAGTACTTTGGGACTGGACAATTTTGACAACTATCCTAGCAGAGTATGTAAAACTGTCCATTGTCTGAACGTTCTGCCCATAGAACAATGTGTTTGATTCACCATGTCTTCAGATAAATGACAGCCGCTTTGTTCACCATCAGAATTAATTATTTCTAAATAATCAAAATACCCTGGCATTCACTTGAAGCTAAAATTCTACCGAAGATTATTTTTATTCTTTTGTTTACTCAGAAAAGTACTGGGAATCAATAGTGCCCACCTCCCACATACAAGCTGTATGTAAAGACTGATCAACAAAGCTAGAAAGACTTGACTAGCCCAAGAGCATGGTTGTGTGGCCCATCCAGAAGGAGCCATTCACACAGGCATTCCAGAGTTAGTCACCTTAGAAACCTTGATGTGCTACTTTTAGTAGAGCGAAGCTAAACACTTTCTAGAAGGAAAGATTCTATTGACATACAAGAATACATTACTCACATTAACCACAAGTCTATTTATTTGTTTAAAGGTTGAGCTATTATGACTTTATAAGCAAAATCATGCTAGAATAATGCAACAAATCTATTTTAGAAGAACCCTGCTCTGGCCACAAGCTGTCCTTCAGTTATGGAACCATTCACTGAAGGTTTGTTGCTGCTCTTGGTTCTGCTATCTAAAAAGTCAAGAGAACACGGCACATGCCTTTCTGTCTCAGGATCACTTGCTAGAGTCATAGGACAGTGGGTCCAGGCATGTCAAGGCTTAAAGTATTAGAGAGTTACTTTAACATCACAATGAAAGGCCTACAGTTGGTCCCAAAGCAGGGCTCGCTGAATGGATGATTAACTCTATTTGATCACTTTTTCATTTCATAAAATACAGAGATTATAAAACTGCATAGAACAATTTTCTAAAATGTGAATGAATGAACAGTTTTGAAAACGTGAATGAATCTATTCAAATTAAACATTTTTTTTTCTGATTATCGTTGTTCAAGTTTGGGTTCATAATAGGATCATTATTTGAATAAAATAAAATGAATGTGATAGCTGAGTTTTTTTCAAAGTTGGCAAATTTACATCTCATGAAATCATGTCTTTTAAAGGAAGTAGATTATTCCGGGGAAAATAATGAAAAGATCTCACAACTTTTCCACATATTAAAACATGCTGAGATCTAATCTCTAACATATGATAATGTATACATACTTTGGGTCATTTGTTTCAGAAATGTTAATGCTGAAAAAAAGGAGGAAGGCTATGCTAGTAAATATTCTGAAAGAGAAATAAACCAGACTGAATTTCACCATCTTTTGAAGAGGTAAATATTTACTATTCTAAATGCAAAGGTGTTCTGCCTGAGTGATCATGTTTAACAGATAACACATTTTTACCTACATTTAAGTAAAAAAAAGTTGTGAATATAATGACTATACATTTTAATCCTCTGCCTCTCTCTCTCTCTCTCTCTCTCTCTCTCTCTCTCTCTTTCTCTCTCATATTATGACATGAGACCAATACTAATTTATAAAATATTTCCCCTGAATTCAAGATTGGAAAATTTCAGAAGCTAGAATAGGAAAAGCCAGGGATTAAAATCTGGAATTTGGATCTAAATAATCTGACAGCAGAAGACACATTCCTTGTAATGTGTTTAGAATCCATGTTTTTTCCTTCTTTCCCCATTGGTGTTGGCTAGCATGAGCACTGGTTGGAAGAAGGAATACTTGGGAAACTGCTTTCTCAGTCCCCGCCTCCCACCTAGGAGGGTCCAATTCAGCATTAAAACTAGAGTTTCAAAACAGGATGAAGAAAAGACTTACCAACCACCCAGTCCTTTTATTCTTCCACTCAATTGTCCTAATCAGGATATTCCCATGGGTTAAACATTCACTCTGGGAAGACATGAGTAGGGTAGAAATGCTGATGTTACTCAGGCTGCATGGACCTGCAAAGATTATCAGTCTAAGAAATGAGAAGGAATTGCATTGGGTCTTCCGGTATCATCTAAACAGAATCAGAGAAACCCTACCAAATGCTTTGAATGAGGAACATTGCCCAGTCCCTACTGGTCCATGAGCATCCAGAGTTGGAACATGAAATGACGTAGTTCCTATCGGCCTATTTATTTGTAAGATCCCTGCAAAGAAATAGCTGACCTAAATGCTGTATCCAATGAAGGAAATAAAACATAGAAATGGTCTTCATAGCTGAGTCTTGTTGATGAGTGTGAAGTCACCTCTAACTCACTCTAACAGTGCATTCTAGCATCAGAAATGTTTACCAAGAGTTTCTCACTTTCTTCAACCCAACAATATTCTTTAGGAAATGCCCTGGTACATCTGTTAGCTCTATTTCTCTCTCCCTACAGTCTAGGCATATCTATTGACACAGTCCTCTGTTCCAGTACCTTCAGTGGCCTCCGGCTTTCCCCGAGGTAGAACCCAGGTTTGTCATTTTAGAATCCTGAGCACTTTCAAATTGCTTCCTCTCTTCTTTTCCAGTCTCTTCGGGCCCCTCACCTTGCTAACACATTCAGCTATAGCTTTAATCTTTCTTGATAAACTCCTATTCATGTTTTAAAGCCCAGCACAGGGGCTGGGGAGATGAATCGTCTGTTAAGAGTGCTGGCTACTTGTGTAGAGGACCTGAGTTCAGTTCCCAGCATCCACATGGGATTTGATGTCCCTCTGGCCTCCACAAGCATTCCAGGACACGGGCGCACTTACATACATGAAGGCAAAACATTCATACACATAAAGATAACTACATAAAGTCCAACGTAAATGTCACTCCCTAAAAGAGGAATCTATGTTTTTCCTTTGTTCTTACAACACACAGGGCCAATGCTTACAACATCCTGCTATGAGTCAGATGATAGTCCGTCTCTACTCCCAACACAGAGATGGCTCTTCAGGAGTCAGAGAAACTCATTCGTCTCAGTGTTTATAAGAAATTGTTTGAAATTTGGGGTGGGGGGATCAATGACAACATTTAACTAGGGGGAAAAATCTTATTTCAGAGGGTCATAGAGAAAGCATCTAGAGAAGAAGATGAAGGACTGTTTGGTGGCAAATTTGGCTTTGGTGACTGGAGAAAGCACAAAACTTTGACAGAAAAAGCTGAGGAATGTGTTTTAGGCCAAAGGTTCAGAAATGTTGGGATGTGGGAAAGATATGCAGGCTCAGAGAGGTTAAACTTCCAATCTCCACAAACCAGAAAGGGGAACTGAGACTCAAAAGGACCCGGAAGCTCCAGGGCCCCGTTCTTGGGCCATGAATAATGGTCCAGACTCTTATTTGCTTTATTTTCTTACCTTACTGCTGGATGCTTTCTGTATACAAGATGATCACTTTTTATGTCTCTTACTTCAGGTATACTGAAATTTTAAATTTACCTTCTGCTGCTCAGAGGCTGTTCAATGAAAAGGGAAAGGAAATCTTTGCCCTGAAGGACCTTCAAAGTGATGAACTGGTAGTGTTGGGGATGTGGAATTGGACATGCAAATACATGGACACTGTACTGGGAAATGCACCCTTTACTGCAAGACTTCTGAGGCTTGTCCTTATTCTCTCAGACCCTTCCCAAGGTCTGAGAGCAAGACTAATAAACAATGTTGCCATCTTAGGTAGCAGGCCTGGCTTACATGACTAAATAGGAGTTATATGATGCTTATAATGACCCTTTGACATGAATGCTTTCACCCCTACTGTAAAATCAATGGAAGAAACTGTGGAAAGCCAATTGTTTATCATTTGTGATTTCTGCCTCTGAGATAGACCCTGTACTCTTTTAGAGGCCTTTACAATATAGTTGTTAATGGTTTCCTACTAAATAATCATGTCACTTTCATAGGTCAAAAAGTTGTATTTTTTTATACAGTCCATTTGGCCAGTAGAGGAAGCTGAGAAATAGAAGGACTTACACAGCCCAGTCTCTTCTCCCACTTATGGAATTTGAGGCATGAGCTTAGGCAATAATATCAGCTGCCTTCATTGATAACGGAAGTTCTTTGAACAGAGAATAAAGCTCACAGCATTTGATCAAACACTGAGCCTGGACATGGTGGCTCACACCTATAATCCCAGCGCTCTGAAAGACTGAGGCAGGAGGATTGCTGCCAGTTCAAGATCAGTGTTGGTTACATAGTGTGTCCTAGACCAGCCTGGGCTGCATAGAAAGATTGTTTCAAGAAAACTCAAATGAAAACAAATCAATACAAAAACAAAAAACTCAACTAATGCTCTGAATTGAAGGACCTCTTGAGAGAGTCTGAAACCAAAGTATGGTGACCAATGTGAGAGCAACGGGTGGAGAGTCTCCATCTGTGCTTGGAGCCTGGCAGGTTTTATTTAGAATCTTTAAAAAAAATTATGTATATGAGTATTGTACCATGTGTGTGCAATACCCAGGGAGGCCAGAAGAAGGTGTGGGATCTTCTGGAACTGGAATTACTGATGTTCTTAGCTGCCATGTGGGTGCTGGGAAGAGAAGCCATGTCCTCAGCAAGAGCAGCCAGTGCTCTGAAGCACTGGGCAATCTCTCCAGCCCCTTATTTGAAATCTTAATGCTATCACTTCCAAGGCTTTTGTTTTAAATATTTCTCTTTCTATGTGTTGCTGTGATTATTCACTGTGGCTATTTCTTCCAGAAAGAATTTAGAGTAGACTGTTTTCAAATAAGTAATAATAATAAAAGATAAATTCAGCCTAAAGTACAAAGGAGGCACTGAGGCAAAAGGAATTGGGGTGTGAGAAGACTAAGACAGAGACAGGAGTGTATCTGCAGCCACTAGAGTTTAACCCACCGCTCTCTGAGTGTGAGGATCAGAAGAGGAACAGTTGGAAGATTTAATGTCTGTAAGGGAACAAGAAAGCTGTTGTTCAAGAGGGCGTAATTAAAATAAACTTCCGTGCATCCTCATGCCAAGAACGCATGTGTATGTCTAGGTGAGAAGAGGTGCTGCTGGATTTCTAGGCAAACTGAGTCTTTCTCAATGTATCACTATTTTTTTTTTTCATCTTTAAAGGGATACAAGCTAGGTATGGTTGCACATGACAGGCCTGGGGAGGACTGGGGCTGGATGATCATGAGTTCAAAGACAACATGGGCTACACAGAAGGACACTGTCAAGGAGTGAGGGAGAGGGACAGAGAAAGCAGGAAAGGAAGAGAGGACAGGAAAGAAAGAGAGAAAGATAATTTGCTTAAGGACATTTAAGAAATAGGTATAAGGAAATGAAGAGGGAAAATGTCATCTATAATCTCATTATCCCAAAATTACACATTATTATTTTGTACACATTTTTTTTTGGTCTTGGTATAAGGAAATGAAGAGGGAAAATGTCATCTATAATCTCATTATCCCAAAATTACACATTATTATTTTGTACACATTTTTTTTGGGTCTTTTTGAGACAGGGTCTTCCTGCAGCCCCAGCTGGCCTGGAACTCACTGTGTAGACCAGGCAGGCCTTGAACTCACAGAGATCTACCTGCCTCTGCCTCCCAAGTGCTGGGACTACAGGCATGTACCACCACACCTGGCTGTAACATTTTTTAAAGTTTTATTTTTATGTTTAATTAAGTGCACACTTGTGTGTCTGTGTCTGTTTGTGTACATGAGTGCATTGCAGGAATAGGCCAGAAGATGTTGGAACCCCTGGAATTAGAGTGACAGGCAGCCATGAGCCCCATTCCTGATGTGAATGCTGGGGACCTCCTAGGTCTCTCTACAGGAAGAATACTCACTCTTGATGGCTCAGCTGCCTTTCTTGCCCCACAGTAATATTTTGGTGTTTATGTGATATTACAAGCTTATTTATACAAGGGATCTTAACTTTTTTCCATGGAGGGCAGGTAGGGAAGATCTTGGGCTCTGTGGGCCATGTGAACTCTGTGGAAATACCAGCTCTGCTAGCACAGTAGGAAAGCAGCCGTAGACTGCATGTGACCAAATGTGCATGGCTCTGTCCCATAAAACTGTTTGTAAGCAAGCCGCAGCCCACAGCATCTGATTATACCTGCATTTCAGTCCTGGCTGCTTCCCTTCCATTCTTCAAAAATTTTTAAGGTCATTTTTGTTTCCAAATGACTGTAAATCTGTGGGGGTTACAGACAGAATAGGCAACACTTTTTGTACTCTACACAGTGTTGTATGAAAGAAGAGAAAGTTGGTTTCCCCTTGACGAAGATGGAAGAGGCGCTTGGTCCTAACAACGTGCGTACAGTTAAGGCTTTGCCATCTGTTCAGTACTCTGTATACAAAGATACTTAAAATCCACTAAAACTGGTGCTTTTGTCAATAGTTTGCTCTTTTTCATTCATGGCTGGTATTCCATGACACTATAGTTTGCTGTTCACCTGCTGTAAGGTATTTTGATCTCTCTGATTGCTTCTACCCTGAAGTATTTCAAATAAAGTCACTTTGAACTCTTATACATCATATAAAAGACTCGTTTATTTGATAGGGTTATGTGTCATGTGGAGAGCACTGGATCAATCCTGACCTCTCTGCTGCTCAGCAAAGGAAGCAGGTCTTCCTCCGAAGCCTTGCATCTGACATTTCCAAGATTCAAACCTTCTGCAGCATGTGCAAGGTAGAAGGTAAGCAGTGAAATGATTTGACCTTACGTAGTAGCATCCTTGGTGATACTGCTTTGTATTAAGATTGGGTTTAAATGGACCATGTTTCGGCTCTACAACTCACTGTTTAGCTCTTTAGCCTAATTTATTAATGTACATTTAACAGGGTTGCAGATTTTATTATGCACCACACTTTGGAAGTGCAAATAGATAAATACATAAAAACTTATAATCTATTTTGTCTTTAACAGATATGGCTATTTGAGAGCCTCATATATTCCTATCAAGGAAAAAAGATTCAATGTCCAATGACGTTTCAATGTTGTGCCATCCATTTATGTAACAGTCTCTTAGGGAGAGCTTTCAGATTTCCCAGTCTCTAGAGCCACGCTTTAGTTTCTCCCTTGGCTAAAAGGAAAAAAACATGGATGAGTTTGCATCTATCCCAGAGAATGATGAACAAACACATGTGTAAATAATATAGCCCATTTGAAGAGTTAGAATGTAGAATAATTAGTATTTGGGCTAATAATATCTTGAGAAGAAAGAATATGTAAGCTTTTTAAATAAAATCCAACTTCTTAGTTTAAGGAGCGCCCTATGAAGAGACCCAATGGCTGAAGGTTTTGCAGTTGGTTTGAGAATGTCTTTCTAATTTCAGGTGCTCTGCGATCATAACTAACATGTTCTTGCAATTTGCGTGTTCCTGCTCAGCTCTTGTGTTAGAAGTCCAAAGCGATGCTGTGCCTGGGGGCGCACTTGCTTTGCGTAAACCTGTGGTAATTTTTGAAGAAGAGAAGCAAGTTAAAGGGCCAGCAGGAAAGCAAATGCAAAATGCTGCTTTAGCAACACAAGATCCTTCCAGAAAGATTCTGTGAGTAACAATGTAGTCAGAAAAGCAACCAGACCATTGCTTGAACTCAGCTCACTAGCCTGGCAGAGGTGCAGAGCCAACACAGGGAATTTAGAGCAAGTTTCTGAGACTTGTCACTTGATGACCTGGTAATAGCTTTCTGACAAGTGACCAGAACTAGAGTTTTGACCATCACAGTCAACTCCTTGCAGCAATGCAGACACAGTTCAACTCATTTTTAAAGACTCCTATCTTCTCATTGCACTTTTTTTGAGGAATTCATTGTGTTTTGTCTCTATAAACATTGACTTCCTTCCCCACTGTAGATACAAGTGAATGGAATTACAATTCTGAGTTCCTGAAATAGCTTTCTGGAGGGTCTCTATAATGTCATCCTTCCATGTCACCTCAGTCCCTTTTGTGGACAATTATCTTTTTAACACATAATTTTATTTTCTTCAGATAGGGTCTCACTATATAGCCCTGACTGCCTAGAACTCACTATGTAGACCAGACTGACCTGGAACTTGTAGAGACCCACCTGCTTCTGCTTCCCAAGTGCAGGGATTAAAGGTGTGCACCACCACAACTGGCACATGATCTTTTTCATACAGTTCTTCAACGACTACCTAGGCAGACAAGAAGAAGAATCTGACCATCCCTGACCCTCGTCCACTGCATGCCTGTCAGTGGCCCCCATTATGCCCTATGCCCCCTTCCCCTTCGTACTTTGCTTCTTGCCATATAAACCCCAAGTCTAGTGGTAAGCTGTGGCCTGACTCTGACACATTCTGTTTTATGGTCCTGCACAATCTCTGGGTCAGATACTGCTCTCTATCTGCCCAAGTTCTTTTACTTGCCACATATTTAGCTCTAGAATGATTTTATCATTAATGCCAATTTCAGCTGCATCATCCCTACCTGTGATGTGCTTGTTAACCCCTCTTCTCCATGCTCCTCCCCCACCAAGCTGGGGACTCACTGAGGACAAGGATTCTGTACCACATGCTCTGTGAAGACACAATAAAGCAATGACTGAGTGTATTTCCGAATCATAAAGCCAGAGATATCTGGTGCATTATTGTTGCCAAACTGAAAACTCATTTATCCTTACTACAAACTTTCAAAATTTACATTAATTTAATTATTGTATGTGTATGTTTGCATGTGTGTGTGTATGTCACCGTGCAGATGTGAATTAGATGACAGGGCATCATTCTCTTCTTCCACTGTGTGTTCCTGATATCAAACGCCAGTCATCAGTCCTGGCAGCAGGCACCTTTACCCTCTGAGTCATCCCACTGGCCCACCTTGTTACAAATTTTTTAAGATTCTTCTATTCTCAGAACATTGGCTCTTGTTTTAGGAAACACCTTTTCTAATTGGATGAGGGCTTCATTTGGCCCATGTCTTTCACTCACCAAACATGACAGAAAATGTTTTGTTGTTATTGCCATCCTATTTGTTTTTTCCCACTCATTTCTCACATGTGGCATCTTCCTTAGCAGTTAGGGAACTGTCCACAAACTCCTTTGGCATCCGTTTCTTTTCTTCTTCTAAAGGATGTATCATCTGGCCTCTGAGTTACTAATCTGCCCTTGCACAAAATAAAGTTAGGAAAAAGGAAACCTCTTTGAGAGCTAAGATCTACCTTGTTGGAATCAGTTACATCAAGGCTGTGCCCTGGAGGTGAAGATGCTTGCCTGCTCTGAGTTCAGTGTAGGTCTCACCCACTCATCCCAGGGAGGCTCTGTGAGCAAGGGCTCTCCGAGATTCCCAGTGACATTGCCTCTCCTGCATACATAATTCCCTATTAAAACTCTCCATCCCGTGATCTCATGCTTCCCTGTGCCAAACTCTGTTCCTCATCCAGCTAACATTCCCTGGTTCTCATATTTCAGAACAGCAGGCTGTCATCTCCCAGGCTTATCACCTTCCCTAGTTCTTTGCGCTATCTCTGAGAGCATCATCTTGTTTGTTCATTTATTAATTTAATATATTTTAAATTTATTTTTTAGTTAGCATGAAAAGTCATGGGTTTCACTCAGGCATTTTCATATACACACCATTATATCCACTGCCCCCACTGTCCTTTTCCAACCCTTCTTTCTGTTCAAGTTGCTCACCCTCTTCTCTCAAACCCCCTTTCTGCTTTTATGCCACACATAATCCATTGTCTTCTTGTATTCTTCCCTCTTCTTCCCTTAAGTTATCTTTGAAGGCACCATCTTATGTTAGAAAGTCACCATGAGATTTCTCTGGAATTCCTCAAATCTGCTTGCTTGAAACCTCTTGCACATGTGAGAACTGAGGTGGTTTAAGGCAAGACATCCAAAAATCAAGTGCTAAGAACATAGATCTGGAAGGAGCCCTTTTGGTTGCTGGGTTCTGTAGAGAGATGTGTGGCAAAAACTGTAAAAAGCACAGCAGGAAAGAATGTTCTGCCTTGCTGCTTTATGGAAAAACAGACTTTGAGAGCATAGAATGTGGAGAGAACTGCCTCATCCTCATAGCATTACAGGACTAAGTCCCTGTCCCTTGAACCCTATGCAGCACTACCTCCCCACTCAACATACCTGCTGCTGTTGTACTAACATCTTCCTGGTCCTCAAATGGATCAAATGTGTTCTTGATTTGGAGTTTTCTTTTTTTTTCTAATTAGAATTAGGTCTCCTTAAGTCCTCACAGAGCTGGCGTCTTCCCAGGTCTCCATTTTAACATGTTATGAGATGATTCTCTGAAGCACACTGATTCCACCAGGGACCCTCCACTTCTGTTTTCTTTCCCTGTGGCACTAATCTATTCAATTTCTCGTTTATTTTCTGTCTCCTTCTCACTAGAATGTGACCCTCATGAGCCTCAAGAACTTTCCTGTTCTGTTCATCACTGTGCTCTACACACAGAGCTCTGAGTCTGACGTATTGTACGTGTTCAGTGAAGATTGGTTAAAGGAAAGACTAATGAAAGATGAATCCTGTGAATAATCAAATAAATCAATTAATAGGACAATATAGATTTTAAAAAGACTGTTCTAAAATTGACTTGACTACATTTCATTTACCAGGAAGATCAAAAACTCATAAATTGGTAGTAAACTAATTAGACATCTGGTCATAGGGCAAAGAATCCTGTTGATAGGAAAGCTGTATTTTCTATTTTGAACACAAGATGGCACTGGTGTTTTTTCAACCACTCTGGAGAGTTTGACTTGGGAAGCTGTTTCCTTCACCACTCTGAAGGAGGCCCTGGTTACCCTCCAATTTCATTCCCACATGCAGTTCAGGTCCTGGCACTTAATAAGTGTGCGGTCAGCCACGCTACCATGGGAGTTGCCCCTGAAGACTGGTAATTTGATAATGCTTGCAGTTACATGACATTATCACCACCACTTTGATGATCACAGCCTGCCCTAGAGAGCTTCACTTATATGGCTCCATATTTGCAAGGGCTGAGCTATGCTTGCTGCTTTGACTGTGTGTTTATCCCCTTGCAAACCAGTCCTCATTGTACTGTCTTGATCCCACTCATGGCTAATGTGTTCTGCACACTAACCTAGAGTTAAATATCTGCAGATCTGAACAGTGGCTATTGTCCCCACCCATTTTTCCCTTGATGATTCTGTGAATATTGTAGTCTAATTTTTAATTTATTATTCTTTATTAAAAACATATGCAGATGTGATTTGAGTCTCTAGAGTTCTCTATTGAGAAGAGTAAAGCTGATTAAGATTCTTTAACATCATCTTTGGAATAAACTTTCTGCAACCCAGTCATCTGAGCTATACTGTCTCAGACAGAATTCTGACTCCCTTAAGCAAAACTTAGAGGAATATCATCACATGTTTTTTTGTGAATTTCTCAAACTAACGAATCCTTTTAATATCCATAGCTTTTAAATATAATACATGGGCCCATTTTTCTAAATAGATACAACAAAGATGATAAATGCTGTCTATTATGCATTTGAAGGATTTTATTTATAGCCTTATATTAAAAGATCTAAATTGTACTCAGAGAAGTGGCACACATCTTTAATCCCAGTACCCAGCAGGCAGAGGCAGGCAACTCTCTGTGAGACTGAGGCTAGCCTGATCTATAGCGAGTTCCAGGACAGCTGGGGCTACAGAAAACCAACCAAACAAACAACCAAAGATCTAAACTGTGCGTTAGTAAGCTGTAGGTTTGTGGCCTTAGGAATCCTATGGAATTATGTCTCAGAGATGCACCAATATCCTGTGGGCTATGATCTCTCTGCACCTAGTGGAAGCTGTGTGAGCACATCTCAGTATTTTTACCCTTGTCTCTGCTTCTGTATCTTGACGGAGATTCACATGCCAGAGCCCATGCCCAAGTCAAAGCCTGTCACACAATGCTCAGGTACACCTGGCAGGACACTTCACATGACTTTGATGATGATGACAGTCTTCCAAAGAAGATGGAGAAACAGCTTTTTGAAAATGTGTATCCCCAAAAGAAATGCAGGTAAACTCTTCAAGGGATTGCTGATGGAAGGTTCTGCTTTCTCTTGGACACCTTCCCATTGGCAGTGGGCATATTCCCATATTTGCACAGCCCTTGGCTCCTGAGAGCGCCAATGTGCACATTTTTCTCTTAGAATTTTTATTACAGCATCTGGGACTAGTTGTGGGAGAGTAAGGCTCTTTTCCTTTTAGCTCCTTTTGTGCAGTGTGATATAATGTGTTGGTCTCTGCTGTGCCCTTTCACCAAACCACTGTCCCACCCACCTCTGTCTCCCAAGAACTTAGAGTAGAATAGAACTTTTATATTTGTTGAATGATTGTGTTGATAAACTAATGAATAGACATGTAAGATGCCCTAATGCCTTCAAGAAACTAGTAAAATATAATCTCTTCTTTCTTAAAAAAAAATGCTTATTTTTTGAGAACTGGAGAGATGGCTCAGTGGTTAAGAGCACAGGCTGCTTTTTTAGAGGTCCCAAGTTTAGTTTCCAGCACCCACATCCCACAGCTCACAGCCACCTACAACTCCATTTCTAGGAATTTGATGCCTCTGACCTCCACAAGCCCCTGCATTACTGTGTACATACCCACAAACAGACACACATGCATACATGTAATCAAATAATAATAGTAATAAATTTGAAAAATTACCTGCTCATCAACCAATGATAAGATAGGGATATATATTACTTTTATTTTCCATAATCTTTAGGCATTTGCTTAACATTATAGAAGTTACTGGAAAATTAATTAAACAGTTTCTTCATATTAACCAGCTAGCATTAGACCATGCATGCAGTAGGGGTTTAATAGCTATCTTTAGATTATTTTGTCAGCAGGTTGTGCTATTTAATGTACTTCATAAGTCTTCTTAATGCCTTAAGATCCTTAAGTAAGAGATTTCTTTCAATTACCTTTGTAGTGCATTACTTTCTGTTATGATAGTTTTTGACTTGTTAAAGAAGACTGAAAAATTTGGAGCTAGGTACCCTATGAGGAGAAACATCACAGTTTGAACAGAGCTCCTTTATTTCTGTGTTTACATTCTACATGCTTTCTCTTCTACTTACTGTGATTTTTATAAATTTCACTTTTCCCCCTATAACTTAGCTTCTCCATCTGAAGTTCTTTTTACTTTGTTGGTGAATTTCCAACTATTCTCTTAGATAAACTTTTCTTTCACAAAATAAGCTCAGGATTCTACTGCTTTAACTTTTAAAATATATTTTATTACTTTTGTTCTATGTGTATGAGCGTATTGCTTGCATGTATGTACGTGCACCCATGATGTACAGTGCCCATGGAGATCAAAAGAGGATAATGGACTTTTGGAACTGGAGTTACAGATGGTTTCAAGCCACGATGTGGGTCCTAAGATTCTCACCTGTGTCCTCTGTAAGATATCCAGTGCTCTTAACCACTGAGCTATCTCTACAGCCTGTTTAAATTGTGTGTGTGTGTGTGTGTGTGTGTGTGTGTGTGTGTGTGTAACCACGTGAATGTATGTTACATGTGTACAGGTGCCCATGGAGGCCAGAAGAAGGCATTGGATCTCCTGGATCTGGAGTTACAGGCAGTTCTGGGCTGCCTGACATGGGTGCTGGGAACCAAACTCAGTTCTCTGAAAGAGCAACAAGCAATCTTCACAGCTGAGTCATCTCTCCAGTCTAGTATTCTACTTTTCATGCTGGTTTAGAAAGTGCAGTGCCGATGGCCTCACTGTTGTCCTATGGGCATGCTTACCATTGCAAGATTACCTGTCCACAAGGCAGTTCTCATCTCTGGTGTATACAGTTCAAGAGGCCACTTTCCTGCCACTAATAGTTTCTTTTACCCCAGACAGTCTCCAAAGCATGGCAGACTGCAGAAGATGTGCCAGCAGAAGTTCGAGTACACAGATGGGCAAATTATAAGTCTTGTTGCTCCTCAGCTGGTCTTGGGTGTAAGAGGCCCCAACCCTCGATTAGGCACAGAGGTGGTTTTGATGGCAAAGAAGTCTGATGATGGTCATCAATGCTGGACACACAGAGAAGACAGCAGGTAGACTCATTGTACTGGGAGGCTAATACATCAAAAAGCAAATAAGATTCAGAGAGGTCAGGTATGGTCCCTTAAGCAAGCAGGAATAGATTTGAGGGCCTTGGAATTTCTGTTTAACTTGGCTGAAACTTCTTTAGCCTAGCCAAAGATGAGACAGAGACAGAAATAAAAATGCCAGGTAAGCAACATGCAAGTTATCAGCTATTCTGTCAGCTAAGAAAATTTCATCTGATGCATTGGGTGCTTAGTTTTACCTGGCTGTTGGCTTAAAACTAGACACTCACCTAATTTATCTCTGTGATATGAAGAAACCAAATAAGAATTGCAAAGTGTTTCCAATTTTAAAATATTTTTACACTTTTCATTAACTCAATCTTGTCTCTCACACATAGGTTCTCTTCCACCTTTTCATTCATAAAATAAGTTATATGGCTTCTAAACATACAGTAAGCATGAATTCTTACCTTATCAAATGTACCTACCTAAATCAGCATCTGGCATTGAAAAAACCACATTCGAAACTCTCAAAATTTTTTTTCTTGAGATCAGAAGAAATTTAAAACAATTTGATAGTAATTGGTTAATGATTATGTTGAGAGAAGGAAAGAGAGAGAGTAAAAAAAGAGAAAAGTTCTCTTCATTTAAATGTATAATAGCTCCAAGTAAAAATGAAAGATATTTAAATCAGATTTACTTTAAATATTCTAGCAAGGGGCTGAAGAGATGGCTCAGTGACTCACAGTACTTGCTGCTCTTGCAGAAGATCTGAGTTCAATTCCCAGCACCCACAGATGGGGGTGGGGTAGCTCACAACCCTTGGGTAACTGTAGCTCCAGAGGATCTCATACCCTCTTTTGGCCTCTGTAGGTACCTCTATGCATGTGGGCATACAAACACATAGATAAAAATAAAAATATCAAATATTCCACTAAAACTTGAAGAATAACAATTGAGGTAAATAGGTGAAACCAGAACAGCAGAATGTTGACAACATTCAGGTCTGTGGCATTCCATTACCGCTCTGTTTTGTGCATGTTTTATTGACTCTAGCAAGAAAGAAAATAACTCCCTGTTCTTTGGATTGCTTTACTCAAAATTCTTCCATTGTGTAACATGGGGCTCTTCAATCTCAATAAAGTGACTTCTTCAATGTCTTAAAATACTATACAAATGTATATTTGTGCACAATCTTTCTTTCTGGGAAGGAGCTGTAATTTTCATTGCATTCTCCAAAGATCCGCACTGTCCATGGACTAAGAACCTGAGCTTTGAGGGATATTACATTAAGCTTCAGAAGGTGGTAGCTGCACGCCCACAGGCAAGGAAGGAGCTAGCTCTGCCCTTTCCAGGATCAGCACAGCAGACATGAACAGTCACTGGTCTTGTGTCAGGGGAGGCTGGAAAGCCAACTGCAAGGATGAAGCTGGTGAAAGTGCTCCTTTATACCTCCCAGGGGCTGTGCTATCTTTGCAATGAGGAGCTGGGAGAATAGGTATTTCTTCCTACAGATTACTGACTGTGAGGACCAGAATTCACCCATTTCATTGCTAAGGGTTACAGAAGGCATTGTTTTGGGGGATGGTAATTTAGCAAAGATCAAAATGCTTGTTCTTATGGAGCTGACATCCCAGTGCTGCTATAACTGCATCCTAGTTAGTAGTATGTCTTTCTGCCTTGTCTTTCTGAATTATGGTAAGGGACCTATGTGAGAGTAAACTTGAATTTGAGCATGACTGATGAATGAAGGTGGAAAGCATGAGGGTGGAGGTTAATAGCCACTTGCAAGAGAACTATGGTTGTGAGCCCTGTTTAGTGTTGTTATTGGTTCTCTTTTATTCTTCTGAGTGCTGAAAGAAAGGAGGATGGAGGAGGGCTGTTAAAGAAAAACAGAAAGAGAAGTTTGTTTAAAACTCTGTGAGCCGTTGGACTCTGAGCAGCATTACCTTGGAAAATCTAGTCATAGGTAACAACAAAGTCTCTTTCCGTCTCCTGTAGTTCTAAAACTTTGCCATCTTGAGGCCATCCCATGTCAAGTCATGAGACAGAGAGGTAGTCGTCATTATAAATGTGGGTTTGTGTGTGTGTGTGTGTGTGTGTGTGTGTGTGTTTTCTTTTCCTTTTTGAACAGTCCTGTCAACTGATGTTTTCCCATAGCAGAGAATTATTCACACTCTAGACAAAACCTGAACTTATAAACTTCTCCATAAAGCCCCCTGTGTGCCAAATGTCAAGGTGGAAACATTACACAGCAATGATAACCAGAGGAACACAGCTTCAAAGCATGGGAAAACATTTGCATCTCTTCTGTGTAGCAAAAGCAGAGGGATAGTGAGGTGACTGATCGTGATACTTCCTCAGTGGACACTGCAGAAAATAAGCATCCATACATTCATTTGAATACTATTACTGCATGCCAATACAAATGCAAACCACAAAACAGAGGCAAACCACGAAACCGGCTGACATCACAGAGATGAATGAGCAACACTCATGAAGGGAGGAACCAGCCTTCATAAATGCTAAAGAGGCAGCCTATGAAACTGAATATCCATTTTGGACTTTAAATGATACCTCATTAATCAATAGTAAAGAAAGAAAGACATTGTAAGAATATTATCTTGTACAAATATGATTGATGTTTAAAGTTCCATCTTCTAGGATGTTGTCATCCTTTTTAGTGACGATGTGTTGTTTTGATGCTCACACATTTGAATGAAATACCTGGAATTTTAAGTCTTTAGGAAAAATATGCTATTTTTATAATGGATCCCTTCCCATTTTCTCTCCTTCCCTTCGTTCTCACATCATTAAAGGTGAGTTGTATCACTCAGGGTGAGTTTTATTTTCAACAGCAAAAATGCCTCTGCTGGTTTCTAATGTGGCCACAATGGGAGAAATGGTGAAGAAATAAAGAATGGGTCTTTCTGTGTAGACCAAAGTCTGATATGCTTGTTTTATTTTTGCTGTTTTTGTAAATTTTTTATTGAATTTTTGTGCATTTCATACAGAACATCTTAATCAGTCTTGATCATCTTTATGCCCCCTTCCCCACTGGCACCCTCCCATAACCTCCCACCCCACTGGAGTTCATACATTCTGTCATTTGTGTTAAGGCAAGTTAGTCAAGTCAGTGTCCCCAGGTGTCCTTCAGTGCAAGTTCATTCACTGAAGTCTAGGCAGCCTACTTTGAGTCCTTCCCTTTAAGATCAGCTCTTCCTCACCCGGCAGTAATCAGCTGCCAGTAAGTCTTCAACTAAATTGGGGCTTGTTGCCCATTTCCACAGTTCTATGCTGGGATTTTGTCTGCTTGTGTTTGCATAGGTCTTGTGCATGCTGACTCCATTGCTGTAGGTTCATATGAGGGGATTTTGTCTGCTTGTGTTTGCATAGGTCTTGTGCATGCTGACTCCATTGCTGTAGGTTCATATGAGCAAGGTTTCAGAAGCCTATAAGACTCTATTTCCATATGGTCATGCACAGCCTCTCTGGCTCTTACAATCTTTATGCCTCCTCTTCTGTAATGGTCCCTAAGCCCTAGGTGGGTGAAGTTTAATATAAGAATCCTGTCCAAGGACCCACACTCTGCAGACCCTTACTCTCCACACTTCGGCCATTTGTGCCTTTTTGTGTTCCCGGCCCTCTGTCGCACGAGGAAGCTTCACTGATGAGAACTAAGAGATGCATTAGTGTTCTCTTTACCCCTTGTTCTATAGTCCATGAGTCTTAGGTATAGAGGTTACATTGTGATGTGCCACTTATGGTTGGGCAATTCACAGACAAAGAAGGAACCTGAGAGAGAAGAACAGTGGGAGACAGGTGTTAATAAGGCAGAAATGAGTAAACGGGGTATTTAAATGGGAAGAGGGAGGGAGGGTTATACAGGAAACTATGGGGATAAAAGGGAAAAAGGAGCTCAAGAGAAGTGGAACTATAGAGTTTCTCAAGGGAAAAATGGGAATGCTTTAAAGGGGGAGGGCATGGGGGGGGATTGGACAGGGAGAGAAAGAAGAGAGATAAATAATACCTAGCTAGTATAAAAAATCAGAGGGAATCATATTAGTCCAAAAACTTATTGACATATTACACATACAATATTTCTACCTGAGTAAGTGTGTACAGCTAAAACATAACAAGAGACAGTGTCAACCAGGAGAAACCTTCCTTTGAGTGTTGGCCAGAGTAGTCCAGGAGACTTTTCAAAATTACATAGGCTATTGCCACAGCCCTTGATTGCCTCCCAGAACTTGAAGGTAGGGGCCCTATTGCTAAAGACAGGACATACTTTGGACACGAGATTTGGAGTACTGGAGCTGGAACTGACCTGGAAACCACCTCCTTTCAAGCCTAGCTTTCACAGCTTTGGAGAACACTATGCAAGTTGCTAAGGGAGAACGTGAATTGATGGTCCAACCTCAGCTTCAAGGCCAAATAACTGTATCAATGGGTGACACAGCAAATGCCATGGGTGCAGTAGTGGCACTTTTATCTTGGGGTAATCAACAGCCACGTAATTGGACTTGAAGCCCACTCAATGGGAGGAAACACATGTATGGTAAACATAGCCAAATACACATGGTTGGAGAGGTCTTAGATCTTGAAAACCCTAAGGCTATCACATCCCTCGACAAATGTAATTTCTTACTATGTGAAAAATATGGATCCTTATATTTATAATCCCAGTATCCCAGTCACCACTCACCAAAGAAGCTTCTTTTGCAACAGATGGAGATTATTACAGAGTTCCACAGCCGGTCACACACACAGACTGTCTGTGTATTTTTGCTTTTAAGTGATGCAAGGAAAAGAATATGAAGATTTTTGTTTCAAGTCATATAGTCTTTATTCTATCTCCAGCTAAGATTACTTTTCAAATTCAACATAGGGGCTGGAAAGATGGCTTAGCAGTTAAGAGCACTGGCTGCTCTTCCAGAGGACCCAGGTTCAATTCCTAGCATTCGTGTTGGATGACTCACAACTGCTTGTAATTCTAGCTCCCAGGGATCCAAAGGGAGCCTCTGTGAGCACCAGCATACATATGTTATGCATGACAGACACACATGCATGCACGCACTCATGCATGCATGCACACACACACAAATGTAGAAAAAATGTTTTAAAATTCAACACGTGTTTTGGACTTTCATGGAAAACTCCATTGGAAAAACAAGAATTGAAGGGAAAATATTTTTGTAGCCACAACAATGAATAATTATAGCTAATAATTTCCCTTATAATGTTCCATGCATTTTATATACATTAACTTATTTGACTCCCACAGGATGTGCATTATTCCATTTTACAGACAAGGAAACTAAGGCACAGGGTTATTAAAGCCATATGGAAATGAGAGGTAGGCTCAGGATTCCACCTTTTGCAGAATAATTATAGAATCCAATTAGTCATTCTCAGTACTTCTGGGTATAATTTGGAGCTAGAAAACACACAATGATTTAAATAGGGAAAATAGAATATGAAGAATTATTGAATTATGGTAAAACATGAACTACAATATATTTATATAAAATATTATAATGGATATTAAATCATGTCTGTATCAGAATATCCAAACCCATTTGTTCTGATAAGCTGGTAAGACCTGAAGAAACTTGAGTTACACTACAGAGCAGAAACCTGTAAAAATTCCAGCTACACTAAACACAGCCTGCTTTTAATGTGTGACTAATTCTATCATCTCAAGGACCTTTCACCTGGAGAGGAACCCGGACCTTGTGCTCACAGTGTCTATGACCAAGGCTCAAAATGAAACCGCTGGCTATCCAGTTATAGTTCAGGTAAGAAATGTGTAGGCTGGGGAGCAGTCGTCTTTCGCTAAGCTGTGGGAAAGCTCCGTGGCTCACTCTTGTAGAACAAAAAAGCATCTGTCATAGAATGGTATCTTGAATGTCATTGTTAAAATATTTTCTGTAATACTCTACCTAGACCTCAAACTGAGTGTTCATGAACCTCTCCATTTAGTTCATTCAACTGATGGAGATTGTAGGTGCTGCACGTCAGGCTTGGTAGTTGCTGCAGTCATCCAACAGTAAGCGTGAGAAACTGTCTTGACCAAATTCATGGAATTTGTAGCCTCAGAGGAGGATGTGCTCTAGGGAATGGCTATTAGGTCTACCTAAAATCAGTTGTGGGGAGACTAGGTGAGGCCCCCCTGACCTGGAAACAAGAGAGAGATCGGAGTAGAGGGGTTCTTGTGGAGGACCTGAGCCCTCAGTGTTAATTCTTGCAGTACACTTTAAATGTAGCTTTACAAATACAGCAGACAATTTTTGGAGACTCCAGAGATGTCTGGCTCCATTTGAGTTTTGGGAAAATACTTCGGAAGCTTTCTCTTCATATTTTTCTGTCATTCTTCCTAATAACCAAAAACACTTTAAAATGAATATGTGATTGTCCTTGCTAGGACAAGAGAAAGCTTAGGAGCATCCCAGCTCTGCATTTACCTTCTTAAAATTCCACCATATTTTCCATGGTAAATTATTCCTTGAACAGAATAATTATCTTCAAATGACATTTGTTTTATTCCATGTTTTTAATAGCAATGAAGCAACTTGCTTTGCAGACCTGGAATCCAAAATTGGGACACAGAAATCTGGACAGATACTGAAGCTTTCTTAATTAAGTCTTCTGTCCTTATGATAAATAAGACTAAAAATGTATTCTGAAAAGACAATACACATAAAATTTTATTCTTCTTGTCAGGTACCTCTTCACCATGGGCCATGGTGAGATTAAACCGTATACAGATGCAAATTCAGTTCCTTAATCAGTTTCATAAAATTTACAGAAACGAATTTCTTCCCCTAAGGTGTCTTATTTTATAAGAAACAAATTTAATCTCGAGGTGATTTGTATTACCTTTTGAGATTTTTTTTCTGTGCTAGTTTTCCATTTTTATTTATTGAAACAATCAGTTTATGAGAGAATATTAAAGTTCGTGTAAAATAATGAAAATGAGCCATGTTAGGTTAATGCTAGCAGACCCTTTCTTGTTCCTTAAGAATCTAACCTTTGCTCCCTACAGATAAGAGTTATACAATTTGGGAGTCTTTTAGATAGACCCACAGAAGGGGTACTAAAAAAGGGAATAGGGGTTGGGCAGGGAGTTAAGGGGAAAAAAAAAAAAAACCCCAAAGAAAAGTAGCCAGTTTCTTGGCTAAAAATCAAAATGTCCTTGGGGCTAAAAATGTCAAAAGTATTTGGGAGCTCTTATCTAATCCCTAAAATATTTTAGGGTTACCTCTTCAGAGGGGAGACTATTAGAGAAGCAAAAAGCCCCACAAGAAAGGAAGAAAGAGAGAGAGGGAGAGAG